TTGGAAACATCAGGGAGAGCCATGCCACAAAAATCCTAATTCTCAGACTTGGATACACACAGAAATAACAAAGAAACCAAAAACAGGGCTGTGTGGTCTAGGGCTGTGGGTGTAAAAAACGGTTATGGATGGTCATCTAGTCTACTCTGCTTTCACAGGCCAAAATTATACTTGACCGATGATCATCTAATTTGTTCTTGAAAGACCTCCAGTGATGAAAATTCCACATTCTCCACAAGCAACCTATTCCAGTGTTTCACTAGCCCCTCTGCGAAAAGAAGAAAAAAATAAGGAAAAGTCTAACTTAAGATCCTCTTGAAGTAAACTTAGCTGTAATTCCTCTATCTGGAAAGAACACAGATGATTATTTCATTCCTCTTTGGAGCTACTTCTAGCATATTAGAAGACTGTTACCAGGTTTCTGCTCAAACTTCTGTTTTTATTTTAATCTAAAGTACTATACTTCTCTTACTGTTTTATAATTTGAAATATGATCATAGGTTTAGAATACATTTTAAGAGGAAACTGGGATTTGGAACTTCTAAACTCTGCTACTTACCTCAAATTTTTCTTTTAAGACTGGGTGCTAAGAGGGACATTTTTTGCATAATAACATTTATCAAAAAAGTGAAAGGCCCAAGTTTAATTCCATGCTCAAACACACAGAACAGCTAATTTTATGAAAAAGCAGTTTGGTGGTCCCAGACTCATGGTTCTTGCACAAACTGCAAATGGATATTTCCCTAAAAAAATTTCATCACTCTTCAATCCCTGGGCAGAGATGGAACCCAGTTATGGTCGTCAAATAAGCTTTGCTCAGCACAGCAAAAACTACAATGATCTCTAGCTCTGCATTGTGGTTCTATCCACTTCAGCAAGCACAGAGGTACCAATAACAACAGTACTTTGAATCAGGATTTCAAGCAGGAAATGTTGGCATCAGCTGTATTTTTATCATGAGTCTGCCACAGGTTTTGAGCCTTTCCAAGTACCTACAATCCAGACTAGAGAACTTCTTCCTTACTGTTGGTACCTCCAGTTTTCTTTTACAAACCTACTAGGGAGTAACTCAAATGGTGAAGAGCAGCCAAGTGTTCTTCAAGACTCTTTAAAATTATTTTTAACTCTTTTACAAATGAATGGGAGAAAATTGGGAAGAACAGAGTCAAAGGCTGAGTCCTGTATATGAAGAACAGGTGGGATAAAGAGATGTATTTGCTCATGCCTCTCAGAGGAACACAGCCACTCTCACTCTCTCGCTGCCACCATGTCTCAGTCTCGGATACCTGCAGCCCAGCACTCCTGATCCATATTGACACTGACAACTTGCTTTCAGTTTTTTATTCTAACCTCTCTTCTTGCCAAGCTTTTTTCTTTTTTTTTTTTTTTCTCTTATCATCTATTCATCCCTGAGCCTCAGCCTTCTACTCCTTCTCTCCCCAGCATGGGGAGCTGGACATGAGCTAAGCAGTGGTTGACATATGTGGTTGCCAGGATCATTGGTGCTTATGCTATTTCCTCTCAGCAGCTATTTACTGCTATTGTGTAAGAATTGGGTTTTTTTTCTGCTTATAAATATTTTGAATGTAGCACGATTCATGTTTCTCTTTTTCCTTCACAAATGTACTAAAAGCAGTAACAATAAGTTCTCATTTCCGAGATAGGAGTCAAGTCCTTTATACATTGTCCAGGACATTATTACATCCGTCTGCACTTCATAAGATTGGAATTGAAAAATATCTTCTGACCCTACCAGATTAACCCATATTAGAGATGTGTTCATATTAACATTGGCATTGTTATATTAAACATGAAAAAACCCTCCCCTTTTTTTATAATACAATCAAATTTGATTTCAAACATTAATTCTGACACAGTTAAGTTATTAAGTACAACTGTAACTCTGCAGGACTGGTTTTACAGAAATTTTAGACTTTATCAAAGGCATTTTTATTTGGAAACATCCGATAATGAAATCCATGAGCTGGACCAAATGTGTAATTTTAATTAATTTTCAAAGAGAATGCATGTATTTTGATAACAGATACTTAATAAATTTAGAAATATACTTTCCATTTCAGAGTTTATTGAAAAATATATGCTTCATCTAGACATACAAGTTGGAATAATTATGTGAGTTGTAAATGAGACATATTAAAATTGAAGAATCCTACATCAATAAGAAATTTCTAGTAGAGATTAAACTCACTCCCTATCTTTCCAATCTTTTTCTTCCTACTGGTAACAGAAATCTACATACCCACAGCCACATATATTGCTGAAATTATAAATATGGCTTAAAATTAAAGAAAAAATGTATTTGTGAACATGCTACATTGCTAAAATTTCAGTTATTTCTTGCACATAGTGATAAAATCACAAGGACAGACACAGTGTCTGAAGTTTACTTAATTTTTTTTTCAGAATTTATTACCTTCTGGGACTCTTTGTCCCCTGGTCATCCATGATCAAGTCCTGGGACCTCATGTCAAGTCCTGCACATATCTGCACATTTTTCCTCCCACTTTCTGTGAATTATTCCATTCTGCCCTTAAAACTGGGGATTTTTTTCTTAAATCATTCAAAGAACTGTTCTCTCTATTACTCTATCTCTATCTATCTCTATCAGAACTCTTCACACACCTCATTATGTTTAGATATAGTTTTCAAAGTTAGAATAGCAAATTGGCAAGCCTTTCTCTGCCATTGGTATTGAAATGTGAACATAAAATTTTAAAACTAGAAATGTAAAAGAAAACCACTTAAAATTAGATTATTCTAAAAAAAAGAGAGAAGCTAAGAAAAAAGCATCACACTAGTTTTTTTAAGAGTTCTGAAGTGCTGGAACATCATATTTTCATCATACAGACCTCTGCTATTTGGTTGAACAATAGTGGTGGTAGTAGTGGCAGGTTAATATCATCTGGATGGATAAGCAGTAGAAAGATAAGGGGTAAATTTGCATGTAATTCCTGAGAGCTGAGGAATCATGAGATCTTAAATTCTGAAGAAAAGTATGATATAGGGGCTCCTAAAGTTTATGGCCCCAACTCCTCCAGCCAAACAAGCACACACAGAATATTGTCTCTATCCTCACACACTCAAAGTACCTGAGATCCAGAGGAAGAGGCCAAAATTTCAGTGCCTTTTAAAAAAAGACATCTACTGGCTAGTCAGCAGATTAGCTCCCAAAGTTTCACTGACAGTATTGACTAGATTAACTACAACAGAGTTTAGGCAGATGGGGCTTGACTTGTTTCCATCTCCCATTGTCTAGAGGTACTCAAGACATTCTTAGACCTTCAAGACATCCTGCAAGTCTAGTGGATATAGCATAGGAGCTTGTGCCTTTCTGGACTGGTAGACGGAGGACAGGTAAAATACCTCAGGGCACCACCAATGACACTAGGTTTCTATGTTTAAGCAAATTAATCAAAACTTTAGCTCACATACAGATGCTTAAATTTAGTCTTAATCTTGAACAGAATTGCATCCTCTACTTCCCTGATCTTCTGGCCAAGCTGCAGGCCTAGTCATCATTCCACATTGTTTAGTGCAAAGCGTCTCTGTCCTTTCAGTGCCTACGCCAGCACCAGAAACTGCACCTAAAATGCATTTCAGGTAAGTCCAAAAGCAGCACTTGTCCCTAAACTTACCTCATGCCCAGCTCACACACAGACTGTCCCATGATTTGGTGACCTTCAGGAAGGTCAAAGAGCAGCATATGCCGTAACACATTATGGCATATGGGATCAGAAGACATCCTGGAGTCTGGAAGCACAGATACACAGATCCTGCTCGTGGCACACTGGCAGCCTGAGCTTCTCCCTGGACTGGTAGGGGTATAGCCACATGGCCCATCTAGGCATGAAAATGCTTGCCCTGAAGAAATATTTAGCTACCAAATCACTCTGTATAAAAAATATGAACTGTACTCCTTGAAGTTATTCAAGTGTAGCCAAATTTCTGCAGCTTTTTACTTTTCTTGCAAATAACACACCCTCAACAGAAGAGTAAGCATCATGCCAAATCTCAGTTGGCCTTTTAAGGCACGAAATAGAACTTCCATCTTATGTTGGTTTTAGAAATTCCTGATTCATCCTTGATGGAACCTCAGGCAAAATACTTTTATTGAAGAAGACATGAAGCACTGCTGTTAATGTCTTACAAAGTTAGGAACAGTGAAACACAGGCTTTAATCACAGAAGTTCCGATAAGTCTTAAATATGAATGCTACTACATTTCTTCCTATAAACAAAGCAGACTAGAAGCAGACACAAATGAAAACATGTAGAACAGACTGTATATGATATGGATAGAATTTGCAGTCTTTCTCCTCTCCCCCACATTCCTGATCTTATCTGACATACAACTCCTTAGTCCCCACTGTTTACTGAATAATGTGTGAAAAAGCATTTTTAACTAACACCAACTGTGTTTAACTGCTTTGTACTACTTTATGTTACTCCTATTCTTTGCAGTTTGTGCATGGCTTTTCAGACAGGGAAAATTATAAACATTTGACAAATGGTAACTACTCTTAACAGATGTCTGGAACAAGCTAAAGCGGACCCTGGCTAACTCCAGGATATAAAAAAAAAAAAAAAGGCAGAAGTTACAAATTATGTCTTCACAGCACTGCTTATAAAGTGATTTTCTAAAATAATCAAATTAATGCCTGAAAACTACTGAATTTTTATAAAATGTTCCGTAATACAACAATATGAGCTGTGAACTGTTTAGAGGTATGTAGTTTACTAAATAAAAAAGAACTGAAAAAATATTTTTACTTTGGTCTGTATTTGACTGCATTAATCTACTCCTTAATACTTCAGCTCTGCACATATTAAGTACACAAGTCAATATGTATTTGGATAAACTCATGATGTCAATGTATCTCTCAGCATACAGCAGTATTGACAATGCTGTATCTTTGTTCCATAAAATATTCTTTGCAATGAAATTATAGAAGCATATTCAACAAGAAAACATTCTCTTACCATGGCAGATTGGCACAGGAGAATCCCACTGGTACATGCCATTTTGGTGACGCCTGCATGTCGCATTATTGTGACCAATCATTCTATACCCAGGTTTGCAGTAATAGCGAACTTTACTTCCAGCGGGACCACCTGTTTTATTTACAATTCCACCGTTTCTCAAGATAGGGTTTAAGCTGCAATAGGGAGCTAAATGCCAAAAAAGGGACATTATTAAAAACATATAAAACACACTTAATTTACAAAGTTCACATTATTTATGACATGTACAAACTTTGAATACCATTAAAATCAGTACAGAATCCTTTACATTACTTTTGGAATCCTCAGTGAAGACTCAGACTCCTTCTGCAGAAATGTCATGAAGTTCAAAAACACAGTTTATAATCACAAACCAGTTTATGAAATTGTACATGAAGAAGCTGCAATCAGGATACATAGATTGTTCAGTAAGTTTACTCACACTTAGTAAACAGTCTACTTAAAAATTGATAAATTTGTAAATATAAAACTGCTCTTTGAGCTATACAATATACAAAACTAATTAGGAACAGTTTTATTAAAAAAATCCAGTGCACATAGGCATCTAAGTAAAAAATTAAACATTTTGCCAAATATGTTAAAAATTTGCATGACAAAGTACTATAGACTGATTCATCAGACGCACTTTTTTCAGATTAAAATTCATGTAATTTTTTACATACATGTTCCTGCAAAGATAGTACATGACAATTGTATTAATTTTTTAGGAAAAGAATGTAATTTAAGTGAGTGCAGCTTCTTAAATGTTGAATTTACACTATATCTGAAGTAAGATGGAATGCACTTGTTTAAATCTAAGTATTGATATGAAAGTAAACCTTGCTAAACCTTAATCACTACTACTACAAATACTGCCCACAGCGAGGTTTTTCTGACCAGTATGGTCCTCAAGAACTTGTGACATATAGACGAAATGTTTAGATGTGATGAGGAAGTAAAAAAAGTACAAAATTTATAATTGTGTCAAAAAATGAGTAATAAAGACCAGTTTTTTTTAAAACAAGGTTGCGATACCTGTACGTAAGGATGGACTATGATTACCCAAATTGGATCCAGGTCACGCAAAAGTACAGGATATTTTGACATACATGTGGAGTTTAACACAAATCTGTTTGTTGCATGCAAACACTTATCACTGGATAAAAGCAATATGAAAAATTACCTTGACTCCACATGGATGTACAAGTTACTGCATATTTGCAGCAGTGCACCATGTCAAGCTTACAGAGATTACAGAATAATCATGGCAGGACCATGGCTTGTAGAAAATAAACCTGGCTGAACATCCACCACTGAAATAAGCCTACGAACATTCTTCACAGGGAAGACAGTGTTGAACTCCACTGATAACTAAACATCAGTACCAAGCACACTGAGACTGTAACTGCTGCTACAATAGTAACTCTCTACACCATACTGAAATGTGTCTTAGGCGTACTATGATGTTCATATCATTTTCTATAGACAATTATCCAGTAGAAGTTGTGGTTTTATTTCACAAGTGTATAATTACAGAATTTGGTTTATATCTATAAATATTTTTCATATTCTTTGTTTCTTGCACACATCCTTGATTTCCTTCTTTCAGCTTTCAATATCTAGCTCTCTATTTATTTTTACTTTGTACATATATTTCAAGTCCCTAAGATGCACCTATGATATCAGTTACCACCTAAAGATGGATGTTTCTGTTCACTGACTATGGAGAGACTATGGAGTTGATTAGACTCCTAACTGAGATGCTTCCTTCAATTGTCTAGATTTAGATGCAGTGTATCAAAGTCAATATTTCTAAGAAATGCCACCCAACAAAAGGCATAAAACTAGGTCCTACATTAAAGATGCTGAAAAATGTTGCCATCTGTTGAGTTTCTACTACAGATTATAGTTCTCAATTAAGCAACATTATTTCTACTTGAAATGTCATTTTTATATATTCTTTCACTTGGGGGATTATTTGAAAAAACTAAATCAAAAAGAAAAAAAACAAAAACCAGGATGAAAATCAGTAAACTACGATGGTCCAGTAAAACAGTTGTCTGGGGTCATGTTCTGTATCTCTTATAAGCACAGTGACATTCAGTTACACTCCTAAGTAAATGAAATAAATTACTAAAATACTCTTTAAATTTAAAAGGGGATTTGACATCTAAAGAAGCACAATGAACATGGCTTTAATTTTCTTTTCAACCTATTGAAGAAAAACTTATATTGTTATTGCAAGACAAGCTGGTTAAGACCAAAAGTCCAGTGGTTAAGACCACTGAAGTCATCTTCAGTAGCCTCTTAAGCACTAATTAATTTTAAATATCCTAGGAGACCTTAAGAATAGCAGGTGAGTCCTAAACATAATATGCCATTCAGACAAAACTCCAGATTGATCTCCTCAGTACTGCAATTCTAAACAGAAAATATTTGCCATATGATGTGTAACCCTGTAGCCCGGTAATGCAGTATTGCCTTTGCTAGTAACAGGTCAAATACTTTGTACTGAGTTTGCAAGTTCTCAAGACCAAGGTTTTTCAGGTTTGTGTTGTCTCAACCTTTTCTGACCTGCATGCAGCTTTGTTTTTACTTTGTTTAGCATTAACAGATTTTTTCTTCTGGGTGGGTATGCCTAATTTGTTTTACTTCTGCATTATGATTGTAATTTTCTATTATCTTTTTATGGTGCAATCATAGCTCTATATAGGTACTTGTAACAAGTAATTATTCTGTGTAGAATAAGATATTTAGGACTCCACCATGGTGATGTGTAGACAAACACAGGCCTGGTGTAACAGCAGAGGCATTGAGATGTGAGGACACAGGATACAGTGTAGAGGAGTACAGGCATGGTATGATAAGAGGGTGACAAGCTGTGCACCATCTAAAGCTACACACAACTCACCAGTGGTCAGTTAAAAAAATTATAACTCAGAGCTGGGCAAAAATTGTTTTCAGGCTTAGGTCAAAGAGAAAAGAAATAGTAACTACACGTAAAATGGACTATGTATAGTAAAATCATGTGTAACTTGAACTTGAACTTGACCAACAGCAGAGTGTAAAAATGTGTTAGTGAACAAAAATGATCCTAAGTGGATCCTAGAGTGAGGAAGAAATCATCAACATTACACTTTTCCCATTGAAGGACTCTAGCTGCTGCTGAGCTACAGTATCTCCCCCAACATACAAACACCAAACGGAAGCCATCGATCTTGGGTTTCCAAGGAGCAATGGAAGCATGACCATAGCACCAGGGAAAAGGTTAGATAATGGGAAGTCTGTGTATAACAATTCTAACCATACTGTTTTTCTGTATAGTAGCTTTCATTTATTCTTTCTTTCCTATAACCATTTAATCTAGACTAGTAATTCTTTTATTAACTGCTAACATTTCAGTTATACTAACACTAAATTCTTGGCTAGACATATAAAGCATAGGTTTTTTACCCGTAACAAGATTTTGAGCGTAACGGGTTGTACTTTGCATTCTGATTACCATGGAACTTCCTGCCATTTTTTTAGCTGTGGTTAATTTCAACAATATATAGTATATATGAACCTCCAAAGAGATCAGCTTTAAAATGGCATGAAATATGGGACAATCGGGATGCCAAATTACACAGAATGACGTCAAAATACTGAAAATTTCATGGGAGGCCACAGGGGAAATCTATCAGTCATAATTGTTGCTTATGTTGTAACAATTAACAATGCCCAGAACCCAAAGGCATATCTTAAGCTCTCCAGTGACCTAAGTGGTGTTCAGAAAAAAAATCAAGTAAAAAAAATCTTTTGAACTAAGAAGAAGAAATTGATATAAGAAAACAACAGGAACACAGAACAGCAATAATTCTCAGAATTTACTTCAACATCACTTTGGCAAATACACTTAATTCCTAATGGCTATTATTGCAAATTTCCTATAGAAATCCATAGCCTCCTTCCCCAGCTACCTTGATGACTCCTGTATATCTGCTGCTCTCAACCATCACTTCAACCTACTGTCACTACTGCTTACTTTTCCTGCCACCCCAAGTGTCTCACTGAGTGAATGGCAGCAGATCCATGGGGCTGGAGGAAATAGGGAAGAGGAGATGTGGGAACTGAGATGTCTTGGTAAAGCTCTGTGGTCATCTGACATTGTGAAAGATAACGGCAGAGGTTCAAGTGTGAAAATAAAGCTATGAGATGTGCTATAACTAGAGAAAAGTAAGAAAGAATATTTGACACCAAGGTACCGGGTTTAAGAGCCCAAGGGAAGAACAGTCATGACAGATTATGCACTGAGACAAGAAATAGGGAGGGAGGGATTGGGGGCTAAGAGCCAGTGATGGAAACAAGAGGAAGAGAAGGACCAGGTTAGCTATTAGAAGAGGCATCAAAAGGATGGATGTATCAGAGACTGAGATTATGTTCAGAATAAAATGTGGTGCAAGGAAAACATATGTATGATTCAGGGAAAGAAACTAGAAATAAAAATACATAAAATCAATTGGAAGACAGAGAAAGAGAAGATCATGGACTGCAGCAAGGAAGGAGGAGGATAATGAATTAGGGGAGACACTGTAAAGAGGAAGCAAGGGAAATTCAGATGGGAAGCTAGAAGGGAGAGAAAGATTGTCAAGAGCTGGATAAAGAACTATCTTAATATTGTCTACCAGAGAACCACTAAAAGTAGACTGTGATTTGTAGGGAGGGGTGGATGGAAGGATGGAGATCAGACAGAAAGGTTGGGGAGCACAGATAGACTGGCTTGGCAGAGGTATTTTGACCAGGATGAGTGTGAGGTTTGGGACAAACCAGGTATGGTGAATGGGACTGCATGAAGTGAGGTGAATTCCTTGAAGTTCAATGAATAGTTCAGCAGAGGGCAGTACAGAAAGGATCACACATACCAGAAAGGGGCTGTGCCCACAGATTACCAAACTTTACAATTCCATGACTGTTAACAGTATCTCTAACACCCATAATAATGTGCATTTGGTGATATGAATCATATATGTTTGGATAACTTATATTTAAAACATAGATCAGATCCACCCCCTACTCCTACAGAAATGTTGATTAATGACATTTTAAAGTAGTGGCAGCAGGCAGGTAGTATGTCAGAAGCCAGCAACGACGCAGGCAAGCAGTGCCTGTAGTTCTTATGCATGTAAAAG